TTGATTAGGAGTGCAGTGTGTTGGGTCCTTTGTGTAGAAAGTGTGCAAACACTGTTTAGTTTTAACAAGGAGTGTTGTAGTTTATCAAAAGTATGAGAAATGAGGGGAATGGGGGTCAATTAAATGCTATATTATTAATAGAGTAGGTCAGTTTTTATTTCTGGTCAATACTTTTTTATGAACATTTCTAATATTGAAACATGTCCTGTCTTATAGTCTGAGTAGAAGAAGGGAGAAAATGAGCACTCGTGTGTCATAGTCCGTTTTCCATCAGAAAAGAGACCGCACTCTCGCTCAATTTTGCTTTTGTCCATCTTCAGCGTTCAAAACAATACCAGCTATGTCAGATTGTCCTTGTCAACTAAAGTGGTGGTTTTGCCAGCAGGTTTGTTGTCCTTAGGTTTAACTGTTATTCAGAATTTGCCATGTTAAGCTAAACAGGAAATTAAATCACAGATATAAAATGATATCTTATTAAATATAAACCTCAGTTGGGTTTATGTAAGAGTAAACCACCAGCTCAAGCCCTATAAATACAGTGGAGCGAGTCTACTATACATAAATAATTAAGTAATTATCTTAATTTAACAAAGTTACTGAGTTGCTGGTGTGTGTCAGGCATGTGGTGCTGACGTTACTAGGAATATAAACAGTGAAGATGACGTTCAAAAATCCTTAGCTCCCACATTTTGTAGTGGGAAAGTTAGTAAATGTTTCAGAATTTTCTCTTCCTTTTATTCGGTCAACTGGTTTTTTTGTGTTTGAAAGAAATAATGTTTGAAAAACATTGTGTAGTAACATGACAATGAGTCCACCTATTGTTAGGATGTCTCTGACTAACAAGTTCTTGTTAGGAAGAAAAATTGTCCCTTGCACGATTGATTGAAGTAGGGGCCAGATGTGGTGGCTGCATGGCGTTTAAATCTCAGCACTTGAGGAAGCTGAGCAAGGTAGGATCGCAGGAGCCCAGCCAGTGTTCAAGACGCAGCTGGGCAGACGTGAGAAAGGATGTACCCGATCTGTGTGTGTAAACAAAAAGAAAAAGAAGGAAAAGAAATATAGCTGGGTGTAGGTGTCATGAACCCTGTGTAGTCCAAGCGGTACTTGCGGAGACTTTCGGCCTAGGTAGCGCAGGATCGCTTGTTGAGATGCCAGGGGAGGTGTGAGGCTGCAAAGATGCCCATGATTTGTGGCGCAGACGCTGCCCGCTCCCGAGCCGCTGTGCGGTATACCACATGTGAGACTCTGTCTCCAAAAAGAATCGAAAAAAGAATAGAAAAAGAAAACAAGTTTCATGTGTAGGAATAATTTTTGTTGGACCACTGAAAAGGCATTTTGAACAATAAATATCGATGAATTTCCTGATTAATCTTTCCTTCTATAGATACTGGTTCTGGTTTTGTATGTATAAATAACAAATAAAATTTGGTGAATACAGAGTTAAAGAGTTTAGAAGTATATGGAATTCATTAAAAAGTCCCTTTAGGGCTGGGCACGGTGGCTCACACCTGTAATCCCAGCACTTTGGGAGGCTGAGGCGGGTGGATCATCTGAGGTCAGGAGTTCAAGACCAGCCTGATCAACATGGTGAAACCCTGTCTCTACTAAAAATACAAATAATTAGCCAGATGTGGTGGCACATGCCTGTAATCCCAGCTATTTGGGAGGCTGAAGCAAGAGAATCACTTGAACCCATGAGGTGGAGTTTGAAGTGAGCTGAGATTGCACCATTGCACTCCAACCTGGGCAACAAGAGTGAAACTCCATCTCAAAAGAAGGAAAAAAATAAAAAGTCCCTTTAGAAGAGATGTTTCTTTTGGTTTGGACTGCATTGATATTTCTTTTGCAGGTTCATTGTATATCTATATTTTACAATTGTGATTTAAATTGTTTTCTAAATGAAGTTCAAATTCTTCATCTTTCAGATCTTGACAGAGCAAGTATGTACTCAGGTCGTACACAAACCACATCCAGAGCCAGATTCTACAGTGAAAATTCAGAATCCAAGTGAGCAAATGGCAGTTCTTTATTGTATTGGGGTCGGCGCATGGCAACATATGAGACTAAATCAAAACTTTTCCTAACCCCTTAAATCATTATGGTGTTTACCGAGTTCATGACAGTTTTAACTCACCTTTTATAGTGCTAAGTATTTATTTGAAAGTCAGTAATACGTTTTGAGTTGAGCATAGGATATGGTTATAAATCTTTTTTTTTTCTTTGTTTACAGTGATTCTTAAAGTGGTGGCAACTTTGTTAAAAAACTCTACACCAAGCGCAGAGCTGATGGAAGTTCGTCGTTTATTTTTATCTGATATGATAAAACTTTTCAGTAACAGCCGTGAAAATAGAAGGTAAGCAGTTTGGATACTATAACAACACTTTATTCCATAATTAATATTTTCTCTCTTTTAGAATTTCAATTCATTCCAAATCTTTTCCATATTGCTAAATACTTTTAATCATCAGAAAAGGCATATTATGTTTCTTTGATGTATTCAGTATACTTCTATTTATTTTTATATTATTTTTATTTTGTTATATGGATATTATATTTTAATTGTATATATGAATATACATATAAACAAACTCTTATTTAAAATGTAACATCCCTTTTAGTGGTACCTATCTATCACCAATAGAACTTTCAGTTGTAATTGTGTTGAATTTTCTCATTTTCGTCTATGCTTTCCACCCCATTTTTCTTATGGCTGATTGTTGTTCATTTTTAAGCTAGTTAGCTAGAACATGGGGTAGAGTCTGAGGCCATGAACTCTGGAGTAGTCATTGCCTGAGTCTATAATTTAACAAATATTGACTGAGTGCCTATTGTGGTCAGTGTAAGACCCAGTGCTACACAAGATAGTCTTAGTACACAGTCTCGGTACATTCCAGTGGGAAAAAAAACCATAAAGCAATGGTTAATACATAATGTGTTAAATACATTGTGAGTGCTAAAGGTGGTAAGAAAGTAGAGAAGCAATAAGTAAATCTGACTGTGAAAGTTAGGAAAGTGATTTTGAATGACAATTAGGATTTTTCCTGGTAGAGAAATAAGAGAAAGTCATTCCAATTACAGAATCTATAATGTGCAGCATGACTGTACACCTTACTTTACTGAGGTCAGATCATATTTTCACTATTTTATTTATCAAAGTTTCAAAATAGTAAATTCTAACTTAATTTGGATATTTTTAATGAGATCAATTTTTTTTTTTTTCTCACAAGATGCTTATTGCAGTGTTCAGTGTGGCAGGATTGGATGTTTTCTCTTGGCTATATCAATCCTAAAAATTCTGAGGAACAGAAGATTACTGAAATGGTCTACAATATCTTCCGGATTCTTTTGTATCATGCAATAAAATACGAATGGGGAGGCTGGAGAGTCTGGGTGGATACGCTGTCAATAGCCCATTCCAAGGTAACACGGGATTTAACATTTTAATATCAGAGTTATTGTGGTGGATTAAACGGCTACAGATATGCATCTGGTGCCATCTTGTGGGCATCTTAGATTTTGACAGATTCCTGTATCTCAGTTTTGTATTTTTTTCCTCACTGTTCATAGACTGTTAGAACTTGAAAGTGGCTTATAGATGAATTAATTCAAACCCCAAATTTATAAATTAGGAGTTTTATACCCAAAGATGACCTACATCTGTTTTATAGCAAATCTGAGAACTTTAATCTGAGCCACTTGCTCTTTTAACTGGTTCTTGGAAGACTATTTCATGAAATAGTCTCTGAAATATACTTTTTAAGACTTTTTTTAAGAAGTCCGATTTTTTTATTTCCAAGTGAATCATAAATACATTTAAAGTGTTTAAGTTTAGTGGTATTTTAATTGCACTATCTTTTCTTTATTTTTAATCTTAAAAATCTGTATGTCTATATTTTAAGTATTATTTGATTTTTGGTAAAATGAAATAGTGAATTAAAGTGTACAAGTATATACACATTAGATTCTGGAAATTCAGAGTTAGGATATCTCGTCATGAAGTGTTATAGAAGAAGCATGGGTGTCAGAAGTATGGCTTTTAATTTAGTCTGTGCCATAATTGAGTTTTGTGATTTTAGAAGACTCATTTAGTCTTCTTGAACATGAGTTAGAAAAAACTGTTTAATAAGATAGATAGTAAACATTATAGACTGTGTGGGTTATATAGCCTCTGATATAACTACTCAACTCTGCTGTTCAGTGTGAAAGACAATACATAATGTAAATGGTTATCATGGTTTTGAATAAACCTTTATTCACCAAAAGAGATGATAAGCAGATTTGTCCCGTGGGCCATGTGTTACCAACGCCTACTTTTGGGACTTGCATTCTTCTTCTGTAAAATTAAGGAGATTTTTGTATTATGAGATATTCTTTAAAGGATGGTTCCCCCAATGTAAAATTCTGTTAACTTATTTAAATATACATTAATAGCACCTGTGTCTATAAGAGAAAGACTATGAACTTTAAAAAATATTAGAAAAGCTTTTGTTTCTATTATAAATTTACATTTTGTAATATAGTGATGCCTCAGATTTATCATTGCTTTAACAAATTTGAAAATAGGAAAGAAAAAGACATTGCAGGTCTTTGTACAAAAAAAGGATTCTGATTATTAATAAAGAAGCCTAAGTAACAAATTCAGAGCAGCTTATATAAGGATAAAACTGTCATGTTTTAACAGCTTGTAAATTTATATATTTAATGATATGTGTGAATTTTTTAACTTCAATTGTTGGGACAGGTACACATATGAGCAATAGATGGTGAAAACCGACATAGTAATAGTACTTTGGATACTGTATATTATTAGCTGTTTATTCTCTGTTTAAGCTTACATAAATATGTGGAAGTTAACTGGCATATTAGGTTTGGGTAACATTGAAATATTCAGCCTAAAAGAAAATAACTTTTAATATTGCTGAGTTATCTGTGTGACTTTGGCAATCCTTATAATAAATCATATATAGCTGTATTTGTTGATTATTTCCAGTTCCTTAATGAAACTAAGCACTTGCTTTAGGATTAACAAGTGCTAGCTTTGAAGTCTTAAAATTTCTGACATGGTTTTTTGTATTTCCACAGTTTAATGTGTATTATTTATTTTTTTCTTTTTGATATGTACAAAATGCCTTAATGTTTTCTTTACTTATTCCTAAGGTCACTTATGAAGCTCATAAGGAATACCTAGCCAAAATGTATGAAGAATATCAAAGACAAGAAGAGGAAAACATTAAAAAAGGAAAGAAAGGGAATGTGAGCACCATCTCTGGTCTTTCATCACAGACAACGGGAGCAAAAGGTGGAATGGAAATTCGAGAGATAGAAGATCTTTCACAAAGCCAGAGCCCAGAAAGTGAGACCGATTACCCTGTCAGCACAGATACTCGAGACTTACTCATGTCAACAAAAGTGTCAGATGATATTCTTGGAAATTCAGATAGACCAGGAAGTGGTGTACATGTGGAAGTACATGATCTTTTAGTAGATATAAAAGCAGAGAAAGTGGAAGCAACAGAAGTAAAGCTCGATGATATGGATTTATCACCGGAGACTTTAGTAGGTGGAGAGAATGGTGCCCTTGTGGAGGTTGAATCTCTGTTGGATAATGTATATAGTGCTGCTGTTGAGAAACTCCAGAACAATGTACATGGAAGTGTTGGTATCATTAAAAAAAATGAAGAAAAGGATAATGGTCCGTTGATAACATTAGCGGATGAGAAAGAAGACCTTCCCAATAGTAGTACATCATTTCTCTTTGATAAAATACCCAAACAGGAAGAAAAACTACTTCCTGAACTTTCTAGCAATCACATTATTCCAAATATTCAGGACACACAAGTGCATCTTGGTGTTAGTGATGATCTTGGATTGCTTGCTCATATGACCGGTAGTGTAGACTTAACTTGTACATCTAGTATAATAGAAGAAAAAGAGTTCAAAATCCACACAACTTCAGATGGAATGAGCAGTATTTCTGAAAGAGACTTAGCGTCATCAGCTAAGGGGCTGGAGTATGCTGAAATGACTGCTACAACTCTGGAAACTGAGTCTTCTAGTAGCAAAATTGTACCAAATATTGATGCAGGAAGTATAATTTCAGATACTGAAAGGTCTGACGATGGCAAAGAATCAGGAAAAGAAATCCGAAAAATCCAAACAACTACTACGACACAAGTAAGCTACCTTATATGAGTTCTAGAAATAAAAAAAATGCTTGAATAGATAGAATTGTTAGCACCAAAACAGAGTACTTTCTTATCAGTTACTTCCTGTTTATATTGAATTATAGCATAATAGTTTATGGAATGAAATAGTGTGGTATAATTTCATGTATATAAGAAATTAAAAATATCTCAAGTATATTTCCAACTCTGCCACATTCTTCTGTGTAACTTTGCTCAACCTCTCTGGGCCTAAGTTTCCTTACATAGTACAAGAGGTTGTACTAAAGGATGACTAAGGTCTCTACCAGTTCTAACATTTTAAACTCTGTGACCACATTTACACATTTTGTACTCAAGATCTTCCTTCTGAATACTTGATTAATTTTAACCTTTTAAGCTTCAGGCCCAACCCTGTTCTGTGGATTATAGAAAAGAGGACTTGGAGCCCAGATTGAACTGATAAATGAAGGGGAAGGGAAAAGGGAACTGTTATTTATCCAGTGCCTACTATGTTCCAGGCACTGTGCTATATGTTTTCAGATTTAATCCTCACAACAACCCTGTGAGGTAGGTAATATGGCTGAGAAAAATTAGAATTATTAGCAGTGAGAATTTTCTGTACAACCACATGAATAGGAATTTGTTATAAGACAATTAAAGACTCTTAGGTCTGGTTGTTAGGAAATGTTAGTGCTTCAGTTTTGACCTCATTGGAATAAAGCTAAAAACAGATGATGTTTTCTGATACGGATTTTAATTGTTGAGCTTTGAGTTATGACTACTTCTTTATTTTCTAGGATAAATAATACCTTATGGTTAAGAGTTTAAGAAATAAGAATACTTTTCTCGTTAATGACTTGGGTTTTTTTATCCTCTGGGTGTCCCACTTGCCTTTTAATGTCATTGAAGATACATTGAATGTGTTTCCATTAGGGCTATACTATGAGGAGTAAACCATGCCTGTCTTGTGTCTTTGTACTCCAGTAAGAATCCTTAATAATATATCATGTGTGTGGGGAAAGTATTTTTATTTTTTCTGTAACCGCCAATTTCCATTTTTTGTGGCAGTTGCATTGTAGTGATAATTGGCAGGAGATGAGAATACTGAATTAGATACAGATGTAAAATAAAGGAAAACATCATGCATTGTTGATTGAACAATAGGCTTGCCTGTTGAACACGAGGCTTGCCTGTTTTACATTTGGAGTTTATAGACATTTTTCTGGTTTGTTTTCTAACTTACCAAATGCATTTGTGTTTTTGAATTGAAGTATTATACGTGAAACAGATTTTAAAGTTGAATATTACTTGAAACTGTTCAAGTAATATTTTTTCTAATCATGTGCTTTAGTTACAATTAGTTGATGACATATATCCAGTATACTTCACTTTGTATATGCGCACTTCAGTAAGGAAGTGATGTGGTCTAATTTAAAGACTCTTAATGGGGTCAAGAGGGTCTGGTTTTCAGTGTGAACTTTGGTGTTAGCTTTAGGTATTTGATTATCTTGCCTAGTTTCTGCAATAGTAAAGTAAAAGCAATAGTGGAGACTTCAGCCCAGAAAGTTTCCTGTGCAAGGAATTACCAGGTGAATAATATATGTGAAATATATTAAACTGCTAAAGTCATATGCTAAAGCATTAAAGCATTGTTCACTTTACTATACTCACAGTTTCATTTTGAAATAAGGCATTTCTTTTGTATTCCACAAAAGTTCACCTTTTCCTTCTTTAGGCTGTGCAGGGTCGGTCTATCACCCAACAAGACCGAGATCTCCGAGTTGATTTAGGATTTCGAGGAATGCCAATGACTGAAGAACAGCGGCGCCAGTTTAGCCCAGGTCCACGGACTACAATGTTTCGTATTCCTGAGTTTAAATGGTCTCCAATGCACCAGCGGCTTCTCACTGATTTGCTATTTGCATTAGAAACTGATGTACATGTCTGGAGGAGGTAGAAATATTTCTTTTTTATAAATTAAAAGCAAATATTTAAAATCTGCCATTGCCTGTTCTATTTTAAAGAGACTTGACAAAACCAAAAATCTGCTTTGATTAAAGGAATTTCCACATTTTTCTTGTTTCCTGTTTAAATTAATACCATGTACTATATTTATTAGTGATAATATTATAATACATACTGTTTAAAGTTTAAAATCACCCTGTGACATGTGAATTCAGAGCCCGTAGTATTTGAGCAGTTAGTGGATATCAGTTCAAAGATAATAACTTAAAGACAACAAATCTACATAAATTAAACCATTGCCTTTCTAAATTTTCAATTTAATTTTTTAATAGTAAATGTGCAACAGATTAATTATGACAGCATATCATTTACATAGGCATGAATACAATTAGGAAGTTGATGGATATAAGTAACAAGGGCAACTTAAATGATCTAGCACAACATTCTTAGGAATGTCGGCTTCTATGCTTCTCATTTTCCTTTTAGGATTCAAGGTGGCTGCTTCAACTCCCAATATCAATTCATCATGAGAAACTTGCCCAAATTAAAAGGCAGAGATGACTCTTCTTCCTTCCTCTTCTTCCTATTTTTCCTCTGCCTCCTCTTCTTCTCTCTCCTCTTTCACTTTCTCTTTTTATTCTCCTCTTTTCTTCTTTTTTTTTAAAAGAAGCCCCTGAAGAAAAATCCCCCTTATGTCTCATGAGACAGCAGGATCACATCCTCTTTCAAAATTAATCATCAGAAAAAGCAAATGAGATTATAATGACTGGTTTTTAGGGACTAATACTGGTTAATTAACTAGTAACTAGGGTGAGGCTAGTCTTTCCTATAGCCAATCAAGCTCAATAATAGAACAAAATATAAAATATGTGTCAGCAGGGAAAAAGTTAGACTGTTGTGGAAGACGTCAATAAAGTCTGCCATAGAAAGATTTTGATTTTGATTTTATTTGATCAATTTGTTCTTATACTAATATATTTTCATTGCTAATTATTATATGATAAATTACCTAGAGATGGTAACTAAGGAAACCTAAATACCATGAAATATATTACTATTAACATGAAGACCAATGTATGGAGATAAATTATGTAATTTAATAATTATAATATCAGTAGCCTCCAAGTGAGTGATACTCAGCTTTTTTTCCATCCACCCCTACTCTGTTTTTGTTTTCTTTGATGGGCTCTCATGAAATTACCCAAGTAGAATTTAATGACATTTAAATTTTTTAAAGGTAGCACTTTATTTTTAGGAGGGGGAGAAACATCTTGAAATTTAAGATACACAGTGATAGATAATAATTCACAACTCTAAAAGGGTGAGAATTATTGACTTAATTTTGACCATGGAGTAATTTCTTTTTTTAAATCTTATTTTTTTTCCCATTAAAAAACAGTTCAGGCCAGGTGTGGTAGCTCACGCCTATATCCCAGCACTTTGGGAAGCCAAGGCAGGAGGATAGCTGGAGCTCAGGAGTTCGAGACCAGGGCAAGATCCTGTTTCTACAAACATTAGCTAGGCGTGGTGGTGTCCACCTGTAGTCCCAGCTACTCGGAAATCTCCTGGGCCCAGGGAGGTTGAGGCTGCAGTGAGCCATGATCCCACCACTGCACTCTAGCCTGGGCGACAGCAGAGATCCTGTCTCAAAAAGAAAAAAAAAAATTATATTCTTGACTGACACCAAACGAAAGCAGTGTATTTTTTTGACATCTACATTGTGTGTTTTGTATGGGAAGGCTGTACTACCAACTTAGTTTGAGATTTTGTTCCTTTCCTTATTAAATAAGTTATTGAATTTGTACTGATTTATTTATATTCCCCTATCATGTCACTTCTTTAACAAGTACACCTTTTCAATGTGACTAGTCAAAGGTGGGGCTGAAGTCACTGGTGATGTGACAAATTGAAACCGCCTACAAAGTAAAACTTTCAGTTAAATTTTTAGGTTTTCAGTTTCACATTTTATTTATAGGTATGAAAATTTTGAATTGGTTATATTCTGAGTTTCCATATTATTTTTAACATTAGACATACTTTTTATATTTAAAAGATTCTGCCTTTCAACAACAACAAAAAAAAAACAAAAAGATTTGGCAACATAAATATTTTTAGCCAAATTTATTGAATCAGTCATATGTCTTAGAATCTAGTTCTATGTTTTTCAAGCAAAATAGTAATAATAATAATGAGTTAATATTCTTGGACACAAAATTCTGTAGAGATGAATGCTTAGTTTTTGGTAATATGATATCTCAGTTATAAATCGCTTTATTTTATAATAATTTAATTTTAAATATGGCTAGCTCCTACAATTCTATAATTTTTCACTTGTTATTCTAAGTAAATTGTCTAAGCTTTTCATTTAAGTAAGCCAAATACAGACTCATTTCTGTTTTCTGTATTTTAGCCATTCCACAAAGTCTGTAATGGATTTTGTCAATAGCAATGAAAACATTATTTTTGTACATAACACAATTCACCTCATTTCCCAAATGGTAGACAACATCATCATTGCTTGTGGAGGAATTTTACCTTTGCTCTCTGCTGCTACATCACCAACTGTAAGTACTTTGCCTCCATCTAGTGGTTATATTTTATAATTACATGACTTGAGCATTTCAGTGGTGGTCTAGGCTGTAAACAGATTTTAAACAGACCTGTAATTTTTAGGGAACTTTTTGACCATATAAATTTCTGTTTCCACCACTTCTGTTTATCAGTGTTGGGTTCCAGCTATGTGTGCTTGTGAAAATATTTCTCTGGTAATTCTGATGAATAAATGCTTCATCAGAAGAATATTGCATTCTTCATCAGAGATATTACATCTCTCTTCAATTCTATAGTATAAATAAACTCTTAAAATTCTTGTTATTTAACATTTTCATTTATTTACTGATGCAACATTTATTTTACAAAATCTAGCCTTATCTTGATTTGTTTCTATATTAAACAGTGAAATGTGTTAATACATTTTAAAGGCATTTAATGTTAATTGTGTATGTCATTTAAAATATAATAGGTTAATGTTAACTTTGTATTTTGGTTGTCATTAAAAACAAAATCTTTGATTCATATCAAGGCAGACTCCATAGCTACTTGCTCAATGGGAACGAATATAGAAATTTGCTTCCCATATTACCCGTGTTCTTGTTGCCGTATGGAAACTCATCCTTAAGCTCAGAAAGTTTACCTTGCCAGAGGGAAATCTTTCATTTTACTAAGATGTCTATTAGTTGGTGAGACACTGTTTCCAAGTTGATCTCTAAGTTTATTTCATCATTAACAAGTTTTTCTATATGACTCTTTTTCTTACTGTCCTTTTGTCAATGCCACCACCATCACCAGAGCAGCAATGAAACTTCAACATTAGCAGCCACAGGCTATATCCTCACACACTTTCCCCAGTTGTTACTCTTCTGTTTTATTCATGATTTTGCTCAAGAAGTCCACAAAGGGAAGCATTCCAGTTCAGAAGGAGGAATGCAACAGAGCGAGTCACCAGTAGGGCCTTAATCAAATTAGCAGCTGAACCAAGGAAATGGAGCTAGGAAGAACAGTATAAATGGTTGATGGTGTGTGAAGAGTGCAGATATACATACACCACTCCTTTTCTTTCATCTCTCTTTTCCTCTGGTGATTTATACCAAATTCTGGTAAGTTGAGAGTTATGTATGATTTTTAAAATGCTTTCTAATAGTGAGACATAGAGGGCATTTTCTTTCTTCTGTTTTCCTTTTTTTTTTTTTTTTAATCAGAGTATCATTCTGTGACCCAGGCTGGAGTACAGTAGGGGGATCTCAGCTCATTGCAACATCCGCCTCCTGGGTTCAAGCAATTCTGCTGCCTCAGCCTCCCAAGTAGCTGGGATTACAGGTGTACACCACCACACCCAGCTAATTTTTGTATTTTTAGTAGAGATGGAGTTTCACCATGTTGGCCAGGCTGGGTCAAACTCCTGACCTCAAATGATCTGCCTGTCTCGACCTCCCAAAGTGCAGGGATTACAGGCATGAGCCACCCCTCCCAGCCAACTTTTTTTTGTTTTATATATTGAAGACCGAATAAATCAATACTTTCTTTGTGACTTTTTTCTTGATTATATAAATTGCATTTTATGTCTTATAAATTATCATTTGTTATGAAGAAATTTTTTAAAGGTTGTATTGAAATTCACTTTGAAATGTAATATTGAATGTTTTTAAATATTGCATGGAACAAAAAATGCTTTATATAAAAAAGTTTAGCAATAGGTTATTAAAATTTGTATAGGTTTAAAATATTCACATTATTAAATAGTTTTCCAAATTTTAAAGTCAAAAGATGTTTAGCTATTAAGATAGAATATTCAAATAATGAAGTAAACTATAGCATATATACTATTGCACCAGTCAAATTTGCTTATTTATTTTGTGATGATTGTACAATAAAGATACTGACGCTTTGAGGTTGGCTTCCAAAATTATTACAATTCAATTTTGACCACTATAGTTTGGAATTTAAAATTATTTATTACCTAGACTTTCTCAACAGACTTGAGAATTCGTTCAATTATGGAAACCTTTGTTTATTTTCTCAATTTCTGTATTTCTGTTATTTTGGCCCATTAACTGTTTGGACCTATGCCTGGTTGTACAACATACCTGATTTTATGTCTTCTGAATGAATTGCTTCCTTAAGAGAAATAGCCAAACCTTTCTCCCATTTTGTATCTGGTAGAACTATGATTGGTGCTGACTGCTGAATGTTGTTTCTGTATTACGGGGTTGTATAATATTCTTGCTAGAAGTTGTAACGTAGCAGAGGGAAAAAGTTAGGAAAGAAAAGGTTGAATAAAGAGGGAAATTAAACCTGAATATTTGGGCTTGTTATATTTAGATTAAAAGTGTAAAAAGCCAAAAGAGAATTTTGGAAGGGATGAGCAAAAAAAGGAAACATTGGTAACATGAAGATTACTGAAAGGTAACATTGTCTTGTAGGTGCTTTTAGAATTTTAATGCTAGATATATGAAGAGAGATGGAGACATTTGAAACTAAGGTTTGAGTGATCTGGTAATTTTGTTTATACATATAGTTTTTCAGAATATTCTTATTATATGTATTTTATGAAGAAATAGGAATAGTAATGGTTTATGGCAGTAGTTCGCAAACCTTTTTTGTATGGGGCCAGATGGGAAATATTTTAGGTTTCATTGGCAGTATTGTCATCTGTCACAGCTAGTCAACTCTGCTGTGGTAGTACAAAAGCAGCAATAGACAATACATAAACAAATATTTTTGTCTGCTATTTCTATGAGAGTGACATAGAAGTGTTCTCTTTTCTGCCCTGGAAATGTTGATGAGTACAGTAATTTATACTAGAGATAACATTTTTGTATTGCTATTATAGTATCATCATCATGGAAGAAAAGTTTGAACTGTTTAATCTTAGTTGGAGGGAACATATCTTAATGGAAACTTAAGAAAAAAAGAATATATATGGTTTATAATGATAGGTTGAGCACCTTGAACTTAGTACCCTTGAAGAAGCAGCACTTTATGGGAGTTTCAGTTTTGCCTAGATTACTTAATTTCATATGTAGCATAGAAAATACATTACAAAAATAGTTTCAGAACTCTGAGTTAGACCAATAGTTTTAACTGTAGTACTCAGAGAAGAAAAAAAAAAAGACCTCTTAGTATGTAATTTGGACAATCTTTGCTTTGGGAAAGCAGCAATATTTTTGTTGTTGATTTTTTTAGTTAATGTTTCTATGACTAGTTAACTGAATCTTCTCATTTGTTCTCTAATATATTGTTTAAGTTGGTCATGAATGAAAGCAAAAAATTGGAGAAGAAAAAGAAAAGCAAAGAACATGGATCAACCACAAATTGCACACTTTGTGATTTTAAGTTGACCACATTGGTCAACCATCCTGAACACTGAATATTATGGAACTTAATTCAGGGCTTAATTTTCTCTGTCCCAGAAAAATAGTAGAGACTGACATTTCCAGCACTCCTAACAGTTTCATAATTATAAGAGAGAAGAACTGCTTTTTCTATTTTGTCGAAAAATAACGAAGTCTTACTTTAGTTTACTTATTTTTATTATCAGGATATATCATAAATATATTCGGAAAAATTATGAATAATGTTGTTGGTTTTGCTCTTCTTTTGTTTATCTCATAGAACTGATCATACTTTACTATTCTCAGGATGCTTTTATGTGTTTTCCTATACAAAGTACCATGAAAATAGCATATTTTAAAATTTATACTCACATGTGCTTGTCAAAAATTAGAAAGTAAGAATAGTTGATTTTTATTGTGAAGCCTAATTCTATCTGATATTTGAATATAATTAATGTAATTATTAATAAGAATCTGAAACTTAGTATAATACCTATTTAATTACCTTTATTCATATTCAGGCATCATTTAGTATATCAAGTTATTTTCTAGCATGGGAAAGTGGTTTATAAGTTATAATCTCTCAAATATTTTATTCTTTTATTAACTTCTGGGAATTTTCAACTATAGGAAGGGTTCTGTATATTTGAGAAAACAAATTACGTTATTTCCTTATAGAAGATTCTAGAGATTGGTATAAATAGTTCATTTCCCTGAGTCATTTCTGCCTAAACCAGAATTGAGGTAGGGATTTTACAGAGGCATTATTATTAGCTTATTTATTAAAATGTTCTATTAATTATAGGAAAAGATACTTGCTTTGTAAAATAGAGTATGCATTATTTCTAATATATGAACTATACTTTTATATATATATTATTTGGGCAGAGTTACTACAATAAAAAATAAATTGAAGTCTAAATATTTGATGTTTAACCTTGATCATATGTAATTTCTAAAATGAAAATCTCTTCTGAGAATTTTGCTTTTAATAAAATAATCAAATATAATTTTTAAATATATTATTTTGTGTTTCAATTTTACATTGTATTTTCATTTAATTTAATAATTTCCTTTTCTTGTATTTTTTTGGTCTGTTGTCTGTTTTGTCTAATGCATGTCCAGGGTTCTAAGGTTAGTATTACTTTTGTAGTAATTTTCAGCTTTTCAGTTTCAAGTTTTATTTTTACTTATTTATGAAATTTTTGACTTGGTTATATTTTGAGTTTCCATATCATCTTTAACATTAGACATATATTTTGTATATTTAAAAGAGTCATTGAAAGGATTACTTTCCCAATGCATTGATATATTACTATTTTATTATGCACAATAATCTCTAGATTAAACTATCGTAATGAACACAATGGTGTTACAGTCATATGTACAATCAGATTTTAATTGGTTCTAAGGAAAGTAAATTAGATGAAATATATTATTTTAAGATTTAATATTTGTATGAGAGTGATCTTTATTTTTTAGCCCTATCTTTTGCTGCTTACATACTTCATTTTTTAAATTACTTTTATATAAAATGGAATACAAATTCTGTTTCAGACTATTGTGTCGAAAATGCCTTTTACTTTAAAATTTAATTTTTTCAGTCAAAAAAACACTTTGGTGGATTATATGGACGCCTTAATAATTCTATTTATAATTCACTCATTTTGAAATGAAAGCATAGTTTGACAGGTCAAAACACTCAAAACCATTAAATAATGAATATAAAGAGATAGCTATCTTGCAATTTCAGTGATTCAAAATGATGAAGAATTTCTTTGAGAACACAGATCTAGATATTCTAAATTCTAATGTTTGAAAAATTATTTACAGTACTTGATAGACCTAAGAAATGGCCAAGTCTTCATTCCTTTATAGAACATTTTAAATGGAAACAGATTTTAAATGAATTTTTTGCTTTTTCTTGTTAGCTATGATGTCATGGTCATAGATTTTAATTGATATTATGAAGTGATGCTGTATATTCATGAAGTGCTAAGAAGTAAAGAATCTGCATTTTAAAGTCTAAGTAATGAATTAATCATTTCTTTATGCCGTGTGTACTGAATTGGCATAATGTTGTAACAACTGAAAACACATTTCTGTCTCTTTCCAGGCTCATTTTAGAGAGAATGATTTTGACCCTATTTTGTTGTTAAATGGAAGGAGGAATGGTTGTTACATTTTATACATCATTTAAAACTGAGCTTAGTTATATAATGCTTGCAGTAGTCACCTATCATTTTTATTACCCACTTTGTACACAAGAAATGTTTTGAGTATTTTGAGGTTTTTTTTTTCAGTGTTTTCTGCTCACATTTCCATGTTAATGCTCCTGCTTCTTCAAGGAGGGAGAAGTTTAGGTATAATGATGGCTATAAACAATGTCAAAATGAAACATTGAATAGGAGCAGATACCTATTACATATGCTAACCTTGTAGTTGAATTTATCATTTGGTTAAGAGGTAATGTTGATTGGAATGGCTAGTGTCCCCGTTTTCAGAAAATTTAAATAATATTTTTTTTGCTTATAAAGTATTCCCTTTCTTTGTTCCTTGAGGCACTGATAAAATGTGGCCTGGTCATAAGGAACAAAAATAATTAAAATGCTATATAGTCCACGGTGCAAAACAAAATAAGAAATGTTGACATTGTTTAAAAAACCATAATGTTGTGCATTTTAAGAAACACAATACTTTGTAATATTCCCTCTGAAATCAGAAATGTAGTGAAAGTAGTTTCCAATCTAGAATGCTGTGATTCTTTTTATTACTAGTGTTTTATAAGTCACGAGTTAAATATCTGTAGACGAGTTAGTGATCTTGATTATTTTTACTCTGGAGTTTTATTGTACATGTAAAGTACCTAGTAGTTTCAGTTTACTCTAAAATGGATAAGAAATTGTTATGTACTCTAATTTGACAGCCATCTCATTTTGATACTAAGTTAAATTACCATATATTTTCCCTATTATTCATCATACATCTATAGGAAAGAAAAATTAAAGCATATATTTTTATTAATGGGAATGAAGATTTTAGGAAAGAAATATCAATGTAAAATCTTTATAAATTACAAAACAAAACTAGTATAAGTACATATATGCGGTTCTCTCTAAATATCTTTGTGAAATGATCTTAAGTTTAGAATGTCATTTTTATAACTAAAGACTTTAAAGCTAATGTTGATTTTAAAATGGGCTTTTCCTTTATTCAAGGATAATTGATAGGTAAAGTAAACAAATTCGGTAACCAACTCTGGTGATGTATGGAATTAGTTGACCTTTAATTTTATTAATAAAATATGATAAATATATTAAATTTGTGTTCACCTGTAGTATGTATGTATATGTACTATATTTCCAAATTTCCAAATTTTAAACAAGACTTAAATCTTCTACTTTTCTAAAGACGGAATTGGAAAATATTGAAGTGACACAAGGCATGTCAGCTGAGACAGCAGTAACTTTCCTCAGCCGGCTGATGGCTATGGTTGATGTACTTGTGTTTGCAAGCTCTCTAAATTTTAGTGAGATTGAAGCTGAGAAAAACATGTCTTCTGGAGGTTTAATGCGACAGTGCCTAAGATTAGGTAAGTCTGTTAAAACAGTAATGCATGTCAAATAATTATCTACAGATCAGCTTTATAAAGCGCTATGGTACATAAAATATTGATGATCTAAGTTGATGATTTTATAATATAGAGATTATCTTGAGATATAGAGATTGTTTTTATAATTAATCAGAATTACTCAATTTTAAAAAATTATACCTTCACGTTGGAGATTTCACAGAACTGATCATCTTTAATGGCTCATAATTTGAAATCAAGAGTGAAATATACTTGAAATTCTTTCAAAATCAGTAAGACTATCAATTTGTCATTGAAGTGATTTTAATGCAAATCCATTTATGCATCCAATTTTGGTAAACTAATACTGAGGGTAGTGTCCTGGCCCCACAAACATGTCAGATACACATAATGCTAGAAGGTTAAAATAAACTATCCTAATCTTACTTGGGGTGAACAAATGTCCCTAATAAACATTGTTATACCCATGCTGTTCGCCTTTTATCTGTGAGGCAGTGAAACTTTAGCACTGAAACCTCTTAGTAAATCTGAATGAATTTTTTAGGTAAGAACCATTTCTACTTCTCTTAAAAGGAACATTTATTTACACTATTTAGACTTTCAAAACAACCAGAAAACTGCTCTTTTTGTACTTGCCTTAGATCATGAGCAGGACATAAGAACTGCAAGGCATGAAATAGGGAGGATGTTCCTGATACGTACTGTTTTCACCCATAACTTTTAAAGATTATGTCAAAAATTCATTTCTGATTCAAGAAAGGAACAAAGATTTGGTTTAAGAATGGTGGGATGAAACCTATTTTTTTAGTTTGTTTCATATTATTTATTTAAAGACAGGCAAGCTGAGAGGAATCATTTTGTATTCATTTTAAGAGAAAGATAGACCACATTAAGATCTTTCTGGCAACCAAGAGGTGTGGGGTAACTGACTGTGGGCCATTAAGGACATTTCCATTGACGTATAACAAGAGCTGCCAAATGAACTGTGTGAGAAAGAGATTATATTTTTAAAAAATGGCTCAATATCTTGAAACCTGCATTTATTTGGTTATTCTGCACTTTTATTTTTAAATATAGTCCAAGACTTTACTCCCTGTTTCATTTTTATCCTAACACTACTAGCACATTTAGTTGTTTCATCAACCACAGAAAACTTTTATAAGTGAATAATAATAAAACACTTTTATATTACCTCCTATGCTATTTACGGTTCTAAGCACTTTCTGTATATTCAGTTAATCCTCACAGCAACCCTCATAAGGCAGTTACTTTGTTCATCTTCGTTTTACATGTGCAAAAACTGAGGCACAGATAGTTTAAGCAGCTGGCCTAAAACCACACAGCTCCAAACCGGAAAATACAGGATTCAAACTCAGGTGGTCTGATTTCAAACTCTGTACTATTTGTCACAGTACTCTACTGCTTCCTAAAATAAATGAGTAAATAAAAATGTGTACATATGGAATGCTTGTTGTCAAAGCCCAGAGACTTTCCCAACATGAAGGAAGGTGAATTTGGGGACCTGTGATACTTGAGTATACAGAGGTACTCTATTATTGACTGAAATGGGAAGTTGTACTCAGTAGAGTCGACAAGATAGTCAAATTAAGGGCAGAAGCTTTATTAAATTTTTAAATCAAATATGAGCTTTAGTTTAAAAAAATTTTATTGATCCATAAATTCAGAACTGTGAAGCTCAGATGGTAATAGAATAAGGAAGGATACACTGGGGGTTTCAGAGCCTCTGGTAATGTTTAATTTCTTCAACTGGCTGGTGGTATATGGGTATTTTGTTTTATTTTTAGCTGTATGTATATTTTGTAGGTACTTTCACTATTATATTTCATAATTTTAAAAATTATTGCTCTAGTTGATTTGAAGATTAATAATTTATGAAGCAAGGGGAAAGAAAGGGAAGAAGAAATAAACTTGCAACTTTTTCCAGGATATCAAAGTCAACAATTTATATTAACAATATGTTTTTGAATTTTTAAATAGTTTGTTGTGTTGCTGTGAGAAACTGTTTAGAATGTCGGCAAAGACAGAGAGACAGGGGAAATAAATCTTCCCATGGAAGCAGTAAACCTCAGGAAGTTCCCCAAAGTGTGACTGCCACAGCAGCTTCGAAGGTAAGTAAACTTTTTTTTTGGTCAAATATAATTGACCTGAAAAAAGTCTTTTTTAAGTTGATGAGAACAAAGTGCCATGGTATTGCTCAGTGATAGAGAGCAAGGGCATTCTCATCAGGCAGCTCTAGGCTGCTTCACAATTTTGTTACCAAGATTACTTAACTTCTCTGAGATTTGTGTGTTTTGGTTATTAAATGAAGTTACTAACAATTCTACTTGATAAAGTTCTTACGAATATTATAATTAGCACTAAAAGTGGTTATTTCTATTTTTAATAGTCATATATTTTCACAGAGTTTAATGTATGAGTAATTCTCCTTTTAAATGGGTAGGCATAATAGTCAACAAAAACTCATTGAATCCCCATTCAATGAATGGAGTATTTTGAAATATACTATTAATTTTCTTTCTAAATCAGCTCTCTTTATCATATGCTTAACTGGCCCTTGGTGTCACATCCGGTTTCATTAACATGCTTTCTGAGGTTCTGTGCCTGGTCCTTGCTTACTTCTCCGGCAGCAGCTCTCAGCCCATCAAAAGAAGCGATTTCCCCTAACTTCTCAGACTTTTATATAATTTCCTTTCCATGAAGTATTCATCCTTATTTTTTATCCAGCTAAAATCTGTGCAACTACTGGGTTACATTAAATGCTACGTTTTCTCAGGAAAATGTTTTTTGACACCCTCACTACTACCCCAGTCAGTCTAGGGTTGTTTCTTCTGTTTGTTGTTTTCATAAAATTACACAGGTCTGTTATCACTCATTATACTTGTAATTACATGTTTAATGTTGATACAGTAACTTTTTGCTCAATAAGTGAAGGTACGAAATCGAAGTTTAATTCATCTTAAAGTTCTATTGCTTTAAACTTCTGCAGATGGCAAGCAAACTGACCGTGTATTTATCCTATTAGTCGGTTATTTGCAGTATTGTAGCTTTTTTCCATTTCACTACTCTCAGAGAACATTTGTAATTTGACTATATATTATTTGCTGCTCACAGGACTCCATAGTGCTCTTATTTGCTTGGGAAATTAAATACAAATGGATCATCAATAATGCCTCATATCATTTGTATAGGCATAGTAGACAGGTACTTGAGGACAGTGTCTATGTGTTATAGATCCTTGTAACTTTAGAGTAACTTTTTTTTTTTGAGGCGGAGTCTCGCTCTGTTGCCAGGGTGGAGTGTAATGGCGCAATCTTGGCTCACTGCAACCTCCTGGGTTCAAGCGATTCTCCTGCCTCAGCCTCCCAAGTAGCTGGGACTACAGTAGGAAAGTTTCTTGCAAGTTTCTTGCATGAGTTCCATACCTTCATGCGACCTCATTTTTATACTGTGTGAAAAGGAACAATTATGCAAGCTTTTCCTATCATGTTGTCTTTATAAGGATCAAATTAGATTGGGGTAGAGAAATACATCATATAGAAAAGAAAATATTTCTAATTTTAAAGTCTGTGTTATTTATGCTGTAAATTATGTATTATTTTCTTTAACCACCCTGTAGTAAATATTATTAGTCTATTACATCAAATAATGTAGCTGAGGTTCAGAGAGGTTAACTTCTCACCAATGGTCATATAGCCAGAAGTTTTGGAATTGTAATGGAAACCAAATACTATCAACCTTTAAATATTTTACTATCATGTGCTGCCAAGTAATCAAACATTTTAATTTTGGGGTAGAATATCATGATTGACATTCATTGAGAAATAGAAAGTACCCTGTTTATTTTTCATTGTTAGAGTAACAACAAGTACATACCTATTATAGGCTGGAATTGTATTTTGCATTATACATGTTATCTAATTTAATCTATACCGTTTTTAACACACTGTATAAGTGAGAAAGTACTTGATTGAGTTTCAGGGAACCTAGTTCACTTAGTAGTCTACTATGTGACTACATTACCTGAAATTTGTAGATGTTTGTTCCTTCAACTATAAAATGTTTTGTTGGTAACAATCTTTAATGTCTTTCAGCTTTGATGGGCCGTGACTGATTTTTTGTAATCTTACCTTTTCTAACCTTGGATAGACCATGAAATGGTTACACATATAAAATCTCATATAGTAATGTAGTATAATAATCTCATATATTATAAAAAGCATGATGGATAAATGAACCCAGAGACTCAACGAGATTTGTTAACTAGAGGTAGAGAAAGTGAGGCTCAGGAAATCTTCTGAAGTCCAAGATGAATCTTTATTCTTCCACAACCTTACCTGCCTTTATGAGTCTATAGGGTAGCTGTGCCAGTGAAGAACAAGAATGCTAGTATGGAAACCATGACATGAGTAGAGAACAGAAAATGTGCATTGTAATAGAGGATTATTATTAATAAATCTCAACTCAGAGAGGAGGAGATACATGATGTGGCCAGTTTAGCATGAACTAAGAAATGATACTTCTATATATTGTCTGTAATATATTATCTATTCACAATTCTTTTTATTTTTAAAGACTCCATTGGAAAATGTTCCAGGTAACCTTTCTCCTATTAAGGATCCTGATAGACTTCTTCAGGATGTTGATATCAATCGCCTTCGTGCTGTTGTCTTTCGGGATGTGGTAAGTTATCTGTGATTGCTTTCCCTGAAATAAACCTTCTACTGTCATTCTTATGAAATACGTTTTATAAGAAAGCTGCTTATGAAAATGACATTCCCTAGTATCTGGGATTGTTGGTTTATTGCATACTTCTCATTATAAAATGGTTGAACCTTAGCTTTCTCTGAAAACTTATTGATAATGTTAGTTTTAAAAAATGGCCTGAAATTTTGATGTAAGTTGCTTGCATACTAAGAATAGGACTAGCTCTGAAAAATTATAAGTAATTTTATCTTGTAACATCTACTTCTCTGTTAGTATTCCTTGCTCCATTTCCAGGTACTAAAAATTTATTATTAATGTTCCTTTCATTATGGATGAAAGGGATTAATTCATTAGGTGTTACTGACAATTGCTTTTGGAGGAGGGGCAATTAAAGAATAATCTGCATTTTAAAAATAAAGGTATCTATGGGAATTGGAGTTAGAAAGATAGCTTAATAAAGCTAAAGGGAAAAGATAGGTTAAAGAGGTGTCATGGAACCCTCCAATCTTATGATCAGTTACTCCAGGTAAGTAAAAGTAAGACTGGCCTTTTCAGAAATTGCATAGAAACATATATGGTGTTTCACATCAGATTCAATGCTGACAGCATCTCTTAACATAGTTATTATAAACCAGCCACTTTGAATTCTGTTTTTCTTATTTTAGTTGATGATTCTTACTTAGTTGTTGATTCTATATGAAATGTAGAAGAAAGGTTATATTTGAAACTTATATTTAACGGTAAATTGAATGGCATGCTTTGTACTTTAGAAAATGATTAAAATATGTTTAGGTTATATAAAATAATGCTGTATGTTAGGAATGTACAATAGAAAAATCGTCACTCTGTTTAATATATATTATTTATAAAATGCTGGGAAAATTCCAAACATACCAACAGAAAAATAGGCAATGGACACAAGGCAACAAACATGATAAAAATTCAGTATCCCTAGTAGTCAACAGAATGCAGATTAACACAAGAGTGATATATTTTTCACTATTAAATAAACTAAAAAATTTTAAATGATCATACCTAGCATTGCCTGGGTGCAGCGCAACCTGCTCTGTCAAACTAGTGTTTGAGCTTTCAAATAGCTCTTTGCCAGTATGGTTAAAACTCTTACAAATATTGATGTCCCAATGAACCACTAGAACCCAGTGGTTCTAGTCAGAATTTGTTTAACTTAATGTTTTCATCAGAGATGTCTACAGGAAATTTGGCAACATTATAAATATCCAATAATAGAATTTTGGCCTAAAAAATCTTGACCTAGTCGTTCGGCAGTGACCTATTCAGCCTTTAAGCACATATTTCTGAAGGAAATTTAATGACAAGGGAAAATGATCATGATATATTTTAAGAGAAAGCAACAGCATGTAAAAATACTTATATTACACAAGTATTACATATGTATACTGATTGTATGTATGTACATATGTGCATCTTTATTTTTAAAAAAAGACTGAAAAAATATACCAGTATTCCACCAATGATAATCTCTAGGTAAACAGATTTTATTTTTTTCTTTATCCTTTAATGATTTTTTGTAGTTTTAAATTTTCTATAATAAACCTATATTGTGTTCATAATTAATAAAAAAGGAAGGTATTTTTTTAAAAGGGAGACTACAGTAAAGTATAAAAACCACAATGTAAGAACTCACTGTAATCTAAACTGTAATCTAAGCTTGGAAAGAAGATACCATTCTTACTGACAGTTTAACCATTTAGAAATGGGAGTAGTCATCATGAAAAAAATGTGCTGTGGAAAGGATTTTTTTTTTTTAATGAATGAATGATTAAAAACATGGAGCACATCTTCACCTCCAAAGGCACAGTCAGATGTAACATATAACATACTGAAGGAGTTTCTATTAAGGGTGACATTGTATTTAACTTGTTAGTAAATTTTGAATTAGGTTATATGGTAGATGATGATCATTTCTCTTAAATTCATGGATATTTTATAAATATTTTGGATAACCCAACAGTCATTATATCTGTGAAATATGGTGATGAAAAGAGAATTCTTTGGAAAGATCTGGGTTGGAATTCTGACTCTACCTTATACCAGTTGTGTGGTCTCAGTGTTTCTGAGTCTTAACTTTTTCTTAACCCTTAACTGGAAGCTTAGGATAATATGGATTTAGTGCTTAATACATAACATAAACCCAATTAACACAAGTTATATTACCTTGATGTTGTTGGGAAGGTGGTACACCATGGCAACACTTAAAGCAGATAGGAGAAACATTATACAGCTCATGTCTTCTCAGTAATAAAATACCTGAGCAAGTCAATTAATTTGTGTAAAAATGTAGTCATTCCCCAGATGTTTAGCCTCTATCTATATTGACAGAACTGGAAATAAGAAGCACAATTGACTAGGATGTCTGTATTAAAAAAAAAAAAAAAAGCTAACTCTTTTCATGCCATATATAAAGGAGGTTTTCGTCTAGCTATGACAGCAGTTTAGTGTCTGTTATTTACAGCTCTGCCACTCTGTAGTTGGCATTCATTCATTCATTCATTCCACACATATTTGTTGAATGCCTTCTGATTGCCTGGTACTGAGTTTCTAGTGTTAGAAATAGAAGTATTGTGGGATATTATGGTCTGTCAAGGCTTGAGCAATGTGTGAATCAGTTCTTGGTCAGTATCTTTTCTTAATCTGATTGTGCTTCATTTTCCTTTGTAATAACTGCTTAGGTATTTGATTTCTTCACTTCTCTCTGTGCTTATCCTATCAGCTTTTAATGCAAAGAATATGCATTTTAAACAGTTTGTAAGACAAAGTATCTGTAGAAAAACTGTAACCCACAATGTATGAAATAGTAAATTGAGAATAATTCGGAACAGATTTTATGTATTTTGGTCATTTTCCCCATTAGCCAGACTGTTTCACACTATTAAATCATCAGTAAATATGTCTTATTTGCTTTTTGCTTACAAATGCACATAAATTATGAATTTTGTTTGCATTGTGCTTAGATGAAGTAATAAATATAAAGTGCCTGTTAATCAAGTTACTAGAATTTATTGCTTATTTGTTTTCCTTATTTCTTATTCTGCCTATTATCTGTAGGCCCAGTAACTGCTTTCAGTTTTGGTTTGAAAGTATCAGTTTTACCTAGCTTATAAAAGAAGCTTAATAAAGGTTCACATTTTATTCCTTAGATATACTCTAGTGTATTAGAGGTCACATAATTTAGACTTATACTATCAGTATGTCGCGCCCTGCAAAGAAGTTTTATCTAGGCTTTTTGAATGTAGAGCTCTCAAGGTTAATGCCAGAAGTTTTGAAGCATATAAAATTATTCGTTAGCACATCACGAGCCAGTTGTTTTAACTGTCTTGCGCTTTCTGAGCTTAGACAGTTTTTTCAGACTGTTTACCATTTGCTGTTCTCGCTCTGCTGGAAAACTCCATTTTATCTTTGAGTTGGGTGGAAGATGAGGAGCCTGAAATATGGGCAGTGTTTTAGGGTCATTTTTGCTGTCGTAAAATAGTGGACTTTATTTCTTTTTTTTAAAAATGTGTTATTTTCCTAGTTTTTGGGGAACAGTAGTATTTGAAACATATAGTTCTTTTAGTGGCAATTTATGATGATTTTGATGATACTCGTCGTCACCTGAGCGATAGTATACTGAATCAATTTGTAGAAGTCTTTTGTTATCCCTTACCACTTCCCCCCACCCTTTTTCCCTCTAGTCCCCAGACGTCCAGTGTATCATTTTTATGCTTGGGTATAGTAGCTGTAGCTGGTCCAGTTGTGAGTGGAACGTATGATGGGTTTTCGGATTGCAGGTTACCTTACTTCTGTAGAATAATTTAGTCCTCCAATTCCCATTCAGGTTGCGCTGTGAATGCGCCGATTATTTCGAGTTATTTTATGACTGAGTAGTATGACTGTTAGTTTATATATACACGCAGTTTCTTATATCCATTTCAGTTGGATGGGCATTTTGGCTGGGGGGTTCCGACATGTTTGGCGATGAAAATTGGGCTGCGTATAAGGCATTGCGATGTGCAATATCTTTTTCTATAATGACTCTTGCTCTGGAACGAGTAGTGGATTCGGATCAAATGATAATTCTTTTAGTGTCTTTTAGGAAATTCACACTGTTTTCACAGTTGGTGTACTAGGTGCATTGCCCACCAGCAGAAGTGTTTCCTTCACGCATGTGCCTTGCTGAATATCTATTTGTTTTTTTTTTTGATGGCCCATCTTGTCAGAGTAAGGTGGTATTAACTGTGTTATTGATTTTCTGCATTTTCCTGATAATTTTAGTGATGTTGAGGCATTTTTTCATATATTTGTTGGGCCATTTGTATATGCTTCTTTTGTGGATTGTCTTATTTATGTCTTAGCCCACTTTTAGATGAGTTTTTTTTTTTTTTCTCTTGTTTGAGTTCCTTGTAGATTGTGGCTATTTAGTCTTGGTTGGATGTATAGATTGTGAAGAATTTCTCCCTCTCTGTGAGTTGTCTGTTTATTCTGCTGACTGATCCTTTTGCTGTGCAGAAGCTCTTTAGTTTAATCCTGCCTGTTTATCTTTGTTTTTGTTGCATTTGCTTTTGGGTTATTGGTCATGAAATCTTTGCCTAAGCCAATGTCTAGAAGGATTTGTGAAATGTTACTTGTTGATATGATTGAAGATTGAATTAACTTTTTCTCATGCTGCCATAATCACACTTCTGGCTCATATTGAGCTTATGTAAATTCATGTTTAATGCTCCCCCATTGTTTATTTCTCCTCTATTTCATGTTCATATAGTCTCTTGCTCCAGTTATGCTAGGATTTTATATGTATTTCAGTTGTAGTTTTATCCTATTAATTTTATTCAGTTATAATATATAAAACTCTTGATTTTTAAAAAATTCGGGACATTAAATTATTCTTTTCAACTTTGTGCCATCTATGTATTTTATAAGCACACATACTATGTCGTTATGTAAGTAGTAGATAATAATGGACAAAAAAGGACAAATAATAAAATTTTAATATTCTAGTTTTTGGAAATTACTTTCCAACCTATAGATGATATATTTTGGGAGTTTTATATTTGTAGTTAAATAATACTTATTAAATAAAAATATATATTTAGCAGGTTTTCATAAAAGTTACATATCGTATTTTGCCTCCGTAAACATAATGAAATAGCAGTTTCTAGTGCTTTAAGAACTTACACTTCAAAAAGTTAGAGTGCTAAAACTGTCTTTTCATTTTTCATAGGATGATAGCAAACAGGCACAGTTCTTAGCTCTGGCTGTTGTTTACTTCATTTCGGTTCTGATGGTTTCCAAGTATCGTGACATATTAGAACCCCAGAGAGAGACTACAAGAACTGGAAGCCAACCAGGTAGAAACATCAGACAAGAAATAAATTCACCAACAAGTACAGGTACTTAACATTGTATAATTATTTGAATTTTCACCATGATGTATCTCCTTTTTTTTTCACCTTTACATCTGGATTTGAACTGGACCTCTTCATAATCACCTCAAATATTTATGAATGGTTGGTATAGAAATGCTAATTTAGTATTCCTTAATTCCACAAAAATGTATGAATGGTATTTCTATATAGTTGCGACGTTCTCATCTTATCAGTACAGCTTTGGTTTCAGTGTTTCTCATTTATTAATATAAATCATTAATTTATACCATTATTTAATATACAAGTAACTCCTACATTTTTAAAAGTATTACTTTTTTAACCTTTATGAACATGGAAGTAGAAAGTCATTATAGAGTTATTAATGCCAAGGATAAGTCAAAATACACATCTTTATAGCCAAGCTCAGAAGTTGGATTTTTTTCTTTTTTAACTGTATATAGTTAATTCAGTATCTAAATATTCTGTCAGTGATTTATAATCAAACATGTGTTCTAAACGTTATACCAAAGTGGCCTCAACTAAAATCAAAGACTTGTGGAAAGTTAACATGGACAACAAGGAACCACCTTGAGTCATGCTGCCTTTTTCATTTGCAGAAAATGCTCATGTTGCATCTGTTCTTGCATTACTAGCTTTGCCCACTCTACTTGAACAGCGTAAACACAGTTTCTGGCAACTAACATTTTAATATTGGACACCTATCATTGTCATTTCCTTCCAGGTGTTTATATCAAGGTTGTTTCTCTATTGTTTGCAGTGAGACCTTGATAACCTAATGGTTATTTCATGTACCACTGGATTAATTTGTAGTTGAAATTTTCTTTCCTAAATAAATGCATATGATTTATAAATAAAATGGATATTTTAAAAAGTGAGTAGAAATTAGTGGTCAAATCTCTGCATCTTGTTTTTCATAAGCATATCATATTTCATATACCTTTTATTGATGTCATATAGATATGGATTATGTTTTAGCTACAATATTTTGCTGTTGCATGATTCATGTACTTTTAACACCTAAACATGAGAATTTTTCATTATAATATACTTTCACTTTTAATTTTATTCTTCAGATTAAACATCATCCTACCATTCCAGTTCATGTTTTTTCACCATTTAAAACACAGACTTATCATCTTAATTCTTTTCATTTTTAATGCTTTTATATCCATTGTATGTACAAAAAGTAATAGTGTAGTGAACCTTCTAGTTCTGATTTTCTTGTGTATTTGTATGTCTCTGTGTATGTTGCTAGAATTACTCTGCTTAACAAGTGTATTTTCTTTCTCTTAATACTTAACCTCTTTTCTTCAGAAATGCATTTGTTATTGCTAGTATTGTTTGCATGTTGCAGTAATATAGAATTGTCATGGATCTTCAGTGGACCATGTTGCAGGTTGTTACATGCTGGCTCAAATTTGATTCCATGATTTTCTCCACAGTTGTGGTCATACCATCTATCCCTCATCCAAGTTTGAACCATGGATTCCTTGCCAAGTTAATTCCTGAGCAGAGCTTTGGCCACTCATTTTACAAAGGTAATATTGACCTCATCTCCTGACCTGTTTGGGTATTCTTATTTCATGAATTGTTATAAAATAAATATTCATGATATAATTGTTTATAAACAAGTATATACCTCAGGTTTCATGGAGATATGAAACATTGTATTTATACCTAGCTATTGAGAGCCTTTATATTTGTATTTTATTACATTTCTTTAAGTATCATCTATAAATTAAGGATACCTAATTATATGTGTATTAATATGCATAATGGTAGCACTCAGGAGAGATCTCAGGAGAGTCACAATTTAGTAGTCCTGGGACTAAATGAGCCTAATATAAAGGCTACTCTAGAATAAAGCTTAAAAGCATGCCTCAAAAGCATCAAACTCATCTATAAGTTATTTAACTTCCAGTTAGAACAAAGCCCCAACACTGTTTAAAGGAATGCGAAAGTCCTTACCAAAAACCATAAAATGAAATGTTAGACATCCAACAAAAATTGTTAAACATGCAAAGAAGGAGGAAAATGTGATGCATAAGCAAAAGAAAAATATCAGTGAATAGAAACAGATTTTGAGACAACAGAAATGGCAGAATTATCAGATAAGGACATTATAGAAGCCATTATATGTATATTCAAGATATTTTTCAATTTAATGGAAAAAAGTTAACATATTGAGGAGAGAAATGGAAGATATAAAGAAAAAAATGACAATTTTAGAGATGAAAAATACAATAGCCAAAATGATAATATCTTTGGGTAGGAGTAACACGAGATTACTGACTTCAGAACAAAAGATTGTAATAGGTAGAACTCTGTGATAGCTCCAAGGTATTCCTGTGTACACACTCTGCAAAATTCCTGGGATAGTAAATATGATGGTGTTTACCCCTGTGATTAGGTTATGCTGAATGGCACATTAGCCTTTAAGAAATGGTGATTATCCAGGTGGGCTTGACCTAATCGCATGAGCTCTGTAAAAGAAGAGGGTTTCCTTCTCTAGTCACAGAACAGGAAGTCCAAGAGACTTGAAATGTGAGAGAGATTTGACATGAAGGAGGATCTTTATTGCTTAGATGGAGGAGCAAGGATCTGAGGAAACCATATAGCTAATAGCACTCACCAGCTGACAGCCAGCAAGAAAGTGGGGACTTTAGTCCTACAGCAGGAAGGAACTGAATTCTGCCAATAATTGAATGAGTTTTGAAGAGGACGCTGAGCTCCAGGTGATACGATACTTCAACATATTCCATAACTAGCTAATCATATGGAACAGCAATTTTTGGAACAAATAAAGCTAGCAAAACATTTTTGTTACAACTTAATGAATGTACAGATACTATTTTTTACAAATGTGCAACCTTTCAACAGCATGATGAAATGAAAAATATTGTTCTCAACTTCACTGCTGACTGACAAACACATCTAGCTCTAAACTGTGCAAACC